TATTTTTTTTTGGGGGGGGGGGGGGGCTCCTTAACATAATTATATAGTATAACAGACCCCAAAACCCTATTCTAATTATCAAGGCCCCCGTATTCGACTCTTGGATGACCGCTGCCAGCCTGACAGGCCGGTGTGCCGCGCTGTATAGATCGAGACAGAGACCAGAAACACATAAACCATATATTCGCACTCAGGTGCGGCCGCGGCGCCAAAGGAAAAGAGTACCGACTCTGCCCCTCGCGATGTATCTGCTTCTGTGCGAATGGCATATGGTGCAGAGACCCTGGTATTGGCACATTGCAATCCATATATGAGGGTTTCCGTGTCAGTCTGTTGGCGATTTGAGGGCTCTGAGACTTCTGAAACAGGTTTGGTCGCCAAAGGGTAGGTCTAAGTGTGTTTAGAAGTAGGGTCACTATAGTTATAATCCCATATTAGGGGACTTAGAACCCCACCTTATAACTATCCCATGAAGCTCCAAGTGGGGTTTTGAGATTTGCAGGCCTTGGTGGGGCCTTGCAGTAGTCGAGCTCTGGAAAAGCCCCACCCCCGGTAGTTTTGACGAGCTAACTGTGGCTACCTACGCTATCAGAGAGAGATTTGCTGGCTGCCTCATTGGGAGTTTAGGGTTTTGGGCTTTGGTGGTGTTGCGGGCTTTTCTGCCAAGCTTGCAGGTCTTGGGAAGGGCTTTAATTTGTTCTGGCATTGCATGATGTTTAGGTGTTGTCGGGCCTTGAGACTTAAGCTTCGACTTTGTGGGGGGGGGGGTGTTCACGGTTTTGGGCTCGGGGATGTTTCGGGAGTGAAATGGGGCCTTAAGATTTCGGGCCCTATGCTAAGGATGGTCCATTGATGCCAGAGGTGTTGATGATTTCGGGGGCCCCACCCCTGCAGGTGGAGCTAAACAGCCTAAACCCCAACAAACTACGTACAGCCTAACTCTCTGAACCCCTGAGCCGGCCCTAAACCCTAAGCCCTTAGAGATTAAGTAGGGGGTAGAATAAGTGGGAGGCGTCATTGCTTTCGAATAGATGCTGGCTTTCGTTTCTGTGCGGAATGGTACAAAAGCTGGGAGCTGTATTCCCTCAAAGGTAGCTGCTGATGGAAGGAGGGTTCCAGGTCTAGGGATCCGAGACAGATGCACAATGTCATGCACCCCCAGCCTCCAGTGTATTTTGTTGCAACTCTTAACCCTGGACCAGCGTAGACTTACTCCCGAGGAGCTAGAGACGCAGAGGCGAGTGGCTGCCAAGACAGAGGCCGGATCCGTGGAAGTGTCGAGATCACGGTTTAGGGTTTAGGGTTTATTGAATTATACTCTGAATGATGTAGCTGATCATAGTAGCAATGGGGTTGTTGCTGGTGAACGTGACGATAGTGACGTTGGTGACGAGTTTATAGTTTTGCTCCCTCATAATGGCCGTTTGACATTGCAGTGGCCTTGGTGAGATCCGAAGACATAGATAAGCAGTCCGGAACTAGATATCCAGCACAACAAAAGGTTAGAACACAAACGCACAAAGAGAGAGACAGACAGAGACTGATAGGAGCCCCACCCAGAACAAGCAGACCAATCATTAAACCATCCGAGGGGAGTTGTTCTGATTTTGCTGCCTGACCAGGGGCAACTCACGGAGACCGCCCGCACTGCCACGAAAGGGGTGGAGGACTGCCCTGGAGCTCGACCCTAATACTGGGGATCGAATAATGATAGTGATTCATATTATGAATATTATTATCATTTATTAAATGCATTCACTTAATTACTAGTAGTAGTCGTAGTAGTAGTAGTAGTAGTAGTAGTAGTAGTAGGCTTCGGGCTATTGCAGCTTTTGGAGCTTCGGCCTGCAGGCTTTAGCCCGCAGGGTTTCGCCACGCCATCACTGTAAACCTGTAGTCTCGTGTCACCTACCCATAGATTGCATAGTAGTTCCTTTTTGGGGTGACCTTATAGGATTCTATATATGAACCCCAAAAAGTAGTTCCTTTTTGGGGTGACCTTAGAGGATTCTATATATGAACCCCCAAAAGTAGTTCCTTTTTGCGGTGACCTTATAGGGTTCTATGTATGAACCCCAAAAAGGAGTTCCTGTTTGGGGTGACCTTATAGGGTTCTATGTATGAACCCCAAAAAGGAGTTCCTGTTTGGGGTGACCTTCTAGGATTCTATATATGAACCCCCAAAAGTAGTTCCTTTTTGGGGTGACTTTATAGGATTCTATATATGAACCCCAAAAAGTAGTTCCTTTTGGGGGTGACCTTATAGGGTTCTATGTATGGACCCCAAAAAGTAGTTCCTTTGGGGTGACCTTATAGGATTCTATATATGAACCCCCAAAAGTAGTTCCTTTTTGGGGTGACCTTATAGGATTCTATGTATGAACCCCAAAAGGAACTACTTTAGGGCCCTTGGGTAAGCTTATCATGACCGGAAGACATCAGCGTACGTCAACGTTACAAGGGGCGCCTACACTCCCACCCTAAACCTGACGCCCTAAGTAAACCCTAAGCTACCCATAGTAGTTCCTTTTTGGGTGTCTATAAGGGTTCCTTTAAGGGATCCATAAGGGTTCCTTTAAGGGATCATTATGCCTGTAGGCCCCATAGTAGTTCTTTTTTGGGGTTCATGTTTAGACTTCGATAAGGTAATCCCAAAAAGGAACCTACTATGG